AAGAGAGACATGAGGGGGTGTAGGAAGGATTTGATTTTGACCAATTTGGTCTCGCGTGCTGGTACGGGTATGAGGGCGGTAGTCACTTCCCGGCTGCCCACACCGTGGAAGGTTGTTTCTTGAGGGACCTGAAAAGGAAGATGGATTAGTGTTGGTGCGTGACCGCAGAGTCCAAGGGACAACTGCTTCAGGCCAGTCACACACGGCCTTTTTATGAAACGTTTTTTGAGGATTAGCTCCGTTCTTAAAGGCCCTTAGTGGGCACCCTTACCCAAGGAGACGGAAGTCCGTGAGTTAGGGGGAGTGTGACATTTTTAGGGCCGACCTTTTCTAACCCTTCCTTCCTTGTGAGAAGGCAGCATCGCTGCAGATGCTGGTTGTCCGAGGGAAACACCTTACTGCTGTCACACCCCTCTGCAGTCAGCAGTACGACTTCGCCCTCAGACCTTGGGTAGCTGCTTTTAGTCTCATCGTTCTCCAATCGACCAGCCTGGCATGGTAGGACCTGCAGGAACATATGTTCCAGCCAGTATAGCTCGGTTGGGTCATCACGATAGGCAAGCCCGACCACCACGTCAAGGTAGCAGCTTCGGTCGTGTGAGCTGAGGTGGTGGATGCACACTGCTGATGAGTGCCACATTAGGACAAAACGAACGTTCAGAGCTTGCAGGTTTCTGATGATGATCTAACGATGATAGATTCATTATTTCAATGAAACGTAACACTCGCCATAACTCAATAGTGAAAAATTATACATTTTTATGTGAGCAAGTTTCTTGTTGAATTGAATAAGAAAAATTTAATTATGATTGTGCGTTCAATGGTTTGATCTCTTAGACTGCAGGTTGATTGACACACTATCAACGAATGTAAGGAGTTACTAGATTGAGTCTTGTGAGAATTTATCGTAAAAACGGTAGATCAATATTCTACTCACAACATGTTGATAAAAGATCACAACCAGTAACCTACAACATACTCCTTAGTTTCTTTTCGCTACTTCTATAAACAATCAAAAATATGATGATGCAATAAAACATACTGTTGTTATTCAGCGGGCAAATTAGTCAGACTGCTAATTTCCAAAATACGTGCGTCGTGCTTCTTTCACATATTGCTAACCCATGATTTTCTTACCACTCGGATAATCACTGTAAATTGTTATGGTACATAACTGAAGTCAGAGAATATTATTGAATCCGATTGTGTGTTCTCAGTGATAACCAGGCATGTATTCATCGAATCACGCGTGGAATAACCAGGTTCTTCTACATCCATTTACTAACACCTGATTCACTAAATCTTAATCTTCATTTTACCACGGTTTAAGCATATTGCACAAGGAACTTTATGTGACATGAATTACATGAACCTTCGAAGAATTTGGAAATAACTGGTCAATAACGCATTGATTACATTATTCTGCGATAAATGTTAGAACACCGACATACTTTTTTCACGCCAATAAACGTTGATTCTTGACATCATGGCCGTCTCCACTTTGTCGAACATGACTGTTCTTCAGGAGATTTTGATGTAGAAAGATATGTCTGAGAAGTTTATTGATATCTTGAAGGGAGAGTGAGGGTTTAAAACTAATTTTTTCAATCGTTCCACTCAAGTAATGGTGCTGGGCACAGTTTTCAGAAATTTTTACAGTTTAGCTTTAAATTCTGTGACATTTTGGAAACGGTTTCGAAAGAAGTAGGTAATGGTAATGTGGATAAGCTACCTGAAGCAAGTTATGTTAATTTGGCCGTGGGAGATCCGATTTACAATGAGTTGGCAAGAGCAATTTGTTCTGTGGTCATAAAACCTAGTCTTTCCGAGTTGAGGATGTTAAGTGATCCTCATTGTTTCCGAAGGATTGCTGACATAAAATAACACCATGTTGGTAATGTGCACTTTCAGCAAGGTGTGTTCAGGCACGCTTTCTCTACCTGTTCACAATCGCATTTTTAATGTGTGGCGCATATAAATTTTGGTGCCCCTTCGTACCAATGTTCGTGTGTTGAAATAAATGAATAAATATAGAACTCACTATAATTTTGTTTATTCGCCTTTGAAGCATGTTGATTATTGTAGATTGATATGCTACCCGGCTGCTACCTAAATCACGTGTTATAACCAGTAACCCAATACTCCACACTAATAATGAATAATTAACTAGTATTCATTCATTATTATTAATAACTGATATACCAAACGACTTTTAATAAGACTTATTTCAGTTGATAATACCGATCAAAATGAAAGGAATAACATCCACTCATCTTTCAAATGTAAAACTATGGTATCGTGGTTTGAGTGTTTGCTCGAAATAATTTCTTCAGTTTCAAATCTACACGGTACATCAACCACTTCACTCTAAATCGCTAAGTATTAGTGCATAAGTTCAGTTAGTGGATTTTTATCCAAAAACTATATTTTTTTTCTTAACTGTAATTAGATTAAAAATTATGTAGTACACATTAAATGCTAATTAGTTGAATTAAAACACAAATATTTGAAAAACGTTATTTTAGACTTACAAATCACTATGAAAACGCCTTGAATGAAGCGTAGGTGGACAAGATAGTTGGAATGGTGTATTGAATGAATGCTTTTGGTGAACTGAACGCTGAATCACATGTCCTTCACGTATAACCAAATAGCCACTGTCACCTAAACTAACGCCATAAACTCGATGTTCATTACGTTGTAATGAAATTATGCATAGGGTCGCGCTACCTATAGTAACAATAATAATAACAACAATATACACTAAATATACACGAAAACATGAAAAAGCAATGGTTAACAGGTGTTGAAGAATCTTCCATAAATAACTTTCATTCAATCTTAGAACTTATTTTCTCTAAATTCGTACACCAGAGCTACGAACGTGTTGGTCATGGTAACGATACCACTTATTGCCCATTTCATGATTCAGTTGCTGTAAGTCGAATGTCAATATTACTGACTCAGCTTGTTCTTCATCACCTCTCTCTTTCTAAAGTTATCTCACTGAATTATACTTCTTGAATCATATATTCGAACCCTAATCTCCATTACAGCTAATTCTCCTATTACCTCTACCACTACGGTCTTCGAAATGACAATTGAGTCTCTGTGCTAACGTGGTATGGCATCTCGAGCTGGTGTATAGATGTACGAAGTTTTAAGTTGTAGCTGACTGACTGACTCAACTCTAAATGTACCTTAGGCCAATAAGAACAGTGATTTTTTGCACCAGTCTGATTCAAAGAACTTTATTAAGGTAAAATCGTATTAATTTTAGTATTTAGTAATAACTATCATTAGTTATTATGCTGTTTTAGTTTTGCTTGAAATTAACCTCTTTAGTTTGACTGTTAACAAACCTTCAGACAAAAAACATTAGCAATTATGTAGTAAAAGGAAGGTAAATTATTAGCTAACACACTTTGATACTACTGTTTACATCATCGAAACTGTTTTGTAAGCAATCTAGATAGTGAGCACGTAAGCAATACATATCATACTCCGATGAAAATATAATCGTGTTCATTGTTTTCCATATGTCTAATTATCATATACATGCATATTATTGACTACGTTTATGGTTAATATACATTCGTCATAGTTCTTGAAGTATATGCAAGTTTAACATTCAGAAAAAGTTAGGAATGAAAATCATTATCTAAGATGATAGAAATGCTTGAACTGATAAATTCTCAGCTCTTTCTGTGTCTTATTCAGTACAAAATCAATAATTAGGTTAATTGTAGACAATGTATGATTTAAGTTAGGTATGTTTCACTTCAAGTTGCCATATATGAGATCACTATATTTAGAAAGTCAATTTACGAGATGAAAAGTGAAAGTGAGAGGGCTTAACAACACTTAAGGAAGAAACTGAATATAAAGAGCATAATTTAAAAATGAAAAGCCTGGAATGAGAATCAAGATTTACGAGATAAGAAATGAATGCATTTACACTACCGTAAATAATTTGGAGCTATGACATCCCAGTAACAAGCGGAAGTGATCATGGATACAGCGATTAGGATAGCAAAGGTAGGATTAGAATCCCAGGACGCTAATGAGCAACTTCAAAGCCACACAATCGTATATGTTATATGAAATACTTCATTATAAAGGACTACATTGGTATTCAAACAAAAGTATATTTAATATACAGCTTGCCTGTCTGAAAACTGCTTCCAACTTTTCAGTTACAAGCTGAAACTTTTCTCAACTACTTTCTATTGGCCACTCATAGTTTACTACTAGCTATTAAGCAATATAGCACGGCCATTCATAAAATGAGTGAATCAAGTGAATCATAAACTCACACTAAACATTTCGCCTACTAACACTCTGGTTGTTGAAGTAAGTCAAAATATTGATCAGAAGTAGCCTGAAGCAACAAATGAAGAATACAACTATTAGTTAAAAAACGTAATTTTACACAATAGCTTGTAGCAAATGTCCATTGTGTTTTTTATCTAGCTTTTCGAACTACAACGAAAATCTAGAATTACGAAAAATGAAAGACTTAAATGACTTAATGCCAAAACAAAACAACAACTCGTACAACATGAAGTCAACAAAGAACCATTATTTCAAAATATTCAATATTATTTATACTGCCCAAGGTAACACGACAATGTCACTCAGTCAGTTACAACGTAGAACTTCGTATATGAGTACATAAGTTCAAGTTGCCATATCCCATCAGCACAGAGACGCAACTGTCGGTTCAAATCCCATAGTAGTAGATATAGTTGAAGTAGAAGCATTAATTGGAGAGATTAGGGTTCGAGGATATTAGTCAAAAAGTAGAATCTAGTGAAATAAACTTAAAAACAAAAAGATAGAGTTGATGAGGTATTCAGGTTAGGATTTGAGAGAACACAAGGAATGAATGCACCTGCACCATTGCAAACGGTTTTGAGGCACGTCATTCAGGGTCTCTAACCATCGATTACTGTCATTTTGCAGACCCCAACTTGGTAGTCAACACGTACCAACATGACTCAATCCAGCTGTAAATGACTTCATGAATTTGCCCCATGTTTCGGTTTGGCCGCCCCTAGCTTTCTTCCAACCCATTCCTACATCGCAAAACAGCTCGATGTAGTAGTCAGTGGTAAGACACACGCAAAACACTACAATGAGAAATAGTTAAGTGAATCTATAAATCTACTCGGTTTTTAGAGAAAGACATATAACCTGTTGCCAAACAAAAACAAAACACATGGGATAGATAACTATAAACAACTTGCCACACCCAGGATAAGTTCTTTCGAATTGAGGACATCCTCATAGCACTGGGAAATTAAAACCTCCAGTTTGTCGGGAATAAAACGACCAGAATTCACAAGACGTTCACAATTTTTCATAACTGCTCTGGAGAACCGACCAGGATCGACCCCGTACGACCTCCAACCACCAACACCATCAGCAACACCTATTAATGATAGAATGCAACATTTTTTTGTGAAATCAAAACGATAGAAAAAAAGGTAAATTGGTAAAACAGTCTAATGTTTGGTATCCAAGAAACACTGAAACTTAGGCTACGAAAAAATCTATCCTTTATCCCACTCACAAATTCAATGTGTAGTTCATATTTATATATATATGCCCCTTTGAACTAATATTTATGTGGCATTACTATGGTTAAAAAGAAAAGACATGTACGATGAGTAGGATGAAAGACAGAGAAAACCAACAATCTTCAGAATTGTCAAAGAAGTACAAGAACATCACATTTACACATTTGTACATAGTTTTTGCCATGAGTCTACAAGAAAAGACAAAGTCAAGATCTGGTCTAAGAAATGAGAAGGCTAAGAGTCCCAAAGAAATGCGCAGTACTACATTTCCCCATTCTGCCAACGAGCAGAGAAGCGTGTGATTAGTAGTCATGTGAAATGCCTTGGGTTCTGCATTTGCCTGATTGAATATCAAGTAGTTACACGTTAAAAACGTTCTTCTGAATAAGTTTTGGGTGAGCTTAACTTTAAAAGTCAAAAGAGATAAACCATCATAACACAAAGGAAACACAAGATATAAAATACTACCCAATCAACATTGAGGATGAGATATTTAGAAACCTTAAATGCAAATCTAATCTTTAATGTATCTCAGACACCTAGAAAACGTCACAATATTTTAAAAAATTGTGGTGATTTGACATTATATTCGGGACATGTGCTACTCTTATGTAAATAATGAATAAATTCCTAGTTAAGAGCAGCCTACCTCTCATACTTCCTAAATTAATAAGACATCTTACGTCTTTTAAGTATTTAATGAAAAACTTTATTAGATTAAAAACCATAAGTGTATACTACAGCATACATTTAAGCTTCAAAGTATCACACAACTTACCCAACACGTACGAAGAATCAGTCACAGATAGGAAGCAAGCATCATCACCGTAAACCCATTTAGGTGAGATTCTTGTTGGGTATTTTGTGTGCTTATTGTCATAACCAGCAACTGCAGTTAGAAGACACAGCCTTACTCTTCTTAATAATGTTTCGGAGTTATTATTACTTCCTCGAACTTTAGTCACAGGACGAAATAAGGAGCGAATTCGAGATAGTAAACTACTCATTACAGGATTATATTGTTTTTTTATGTTCTTATATTGGAAAAAGTACAACTGACAAAAGGTGTGATCCTTTGCTGATCACCTTTGCATAGCTCATGCAACACGTTGTTCATCCACAGTGCGAAGGTCGATTCATAACCATAATTATCAACTAGTAAGCTAAAACGTTACTTACCAACACCTGTTTTGAGGAAAAAGGGTGTGTTGACTTTGTAAACCTCCATGTTTCAGCGCCCATATGTGCTAAATAAGGTTAGAAATAATTATGGAGTGATGGCACCAAGTTGTCTTTGCATTAAGTGAAGAGTTTCATCAACGTTGGCTGTGTCCTCAACATAGTTCGAACTGGTGTTGAGACTATAAGTGGTTATTAAACTGAATTTGCGCTCTGAGGATACAATAGGGACTTTCGTTGAGGATGTAAGTTGGGTTACATTGGACGGAATGTAAAAAATGTGACATTTAGACTGGTTTAGTTATAATCATTTTCAGCTTCCCATTACTCAATAGATGTAAAGTATTTTTAAAGCTCAAATGAATCCTCTTCGATTAGTCTACGCAGATCAGTGATTACTTTGTTTGACAGGTCGTTATGAATATCAGCAAGAGAAGTGGACCTGTGAAACTCCCAATGTTCAGACTCGTCAACTCGCATGCTCTCTATTTACCTTGGTGCATAAATTTCTATTCTCAAGGTAGTTTCTGAGACGAGATAGGAATAAGTAAATGAAGGCAATTTCCACTACCTTCGCAATTGGGCGTGCGTGGGGTACTGCGTCGATTGCTTTTGAAAAGTCAATAAATATTATGCGCCAGATCATCCGCGAAGTCTAGAACATCCAACTGCACTGTATACCGAGCTTCCCTCTAGAAGTCGACATCTTCATAATCCAGTGATCACTATGAGAAAGATAAAAGGTGAGAGCGAGCAACTTTGCCTGACACCGAACAAGTATGTGTGATGTCCTCCATGCGCGATTTTGCACTTAAGTTAATCATGAGAATTGCGTAAGATGTTGTCTATCTTCTCAGGCACGTTGTAGTGTCGAAGAAACCTCCATAGTGTTTTCCTGTCCACGCTATCAAATGCTTTCTCGTAGTCAATAAAGTTGATGTAGAGTTCATTTCAATGGACTGTTCCACAATGATCCGAAATGTTGCAATTTGGTCGGTACACGATCGATTCTTACTAAACCCAGCCTGTTGACCTCGAAGTTGAGCGTCTACGAAATCATTCTGTCTAACAATACCCTGTTGAAGACTTTGCCTGGTATTGATAGGAGAGTGATACCTCTGTAGTTTTCAAACTTATTGAGATCTCCTTCCTTTGCTATCTTGATCAGATGTCCTTCTTTCCAGTTTGTCAGTAATTGTTCTTCATCCCAAATCTTGTTGAAGAGAATATTTTTGCAGTTGCTGCCACGTCTACTTTCATTACCTCTGCTAGAATGTTGTCTGGTCCCGCTGCTTTGTCGCTCTTGACTTGTCTGATGACAATGCTGATCTCCTCAACTGTTGGTGGGCCAACATTGATTATGAGGTCCGTGAGTGCTGTTTTGATGTTGGGTGGGTTCAGTCGAGCTGGTTGATTCAGGAGTTCCTTAAAGTTCCCTACCCACTGATTCGCTGTTCTTCAGTGTTGCTGGTTACTTTGCCTTCGATTAGTTACAGCTTTTGTATGCCAACCGCCCTTAGTAAGTAGGGAGGCTTTTTTCTATGGTATTCACCCTTAAAAGGTTCGCGATCCGTTGATAAAAGCATTCCAGAACTACTTGCTGCTCCACGGCAGTCACCCAGTTTCGCTAACGATCAGTGGAGAGTAATGTGAGAGACCATGAGATGAATGAGGACGTTATATACTCTAATATCACCTTAAATGTATCCCAATCATCTTAGACCTGCCGATCACTAGTGATCGATCAATCTTCGGAGGCGGCACAGTCTCTAATTGCCAGGATATCAGAACGTCATATATTGGGAAAGGATGGGGGAGATACGTACTCCACATTATATGTGGACACATCTTACAAATTATACCATTAGTTTACTTAAAATCAGTGTGATATGCTATGTGTATATTTTGTCTGGCGAAGTTGTCTGGATTGCTTGTAATATGGAACTAGTAGTGAAAGTTAATTCCGATAAGGTGTACAAAAAATAGAGAGTAGACTAGAGACCATTATTTACGATCAACCATTAAATGTAAGAGAGCCTAACATCACAAAAGAAGGGAGGGTGGTGTATCTGACCAGCATTCATGACTGTGGGGCGATAACCTCAATCTACCCATGTCTATGTGCATAATATTTTGTTTTCTTACGGCTCCTTACGATATAGCAGGACATAACAAATCAGTGATAGTGATGTTACTTTTCCTTGTTAACCTCGTCTACGACTCATGTTTGTAACCTTGCACTGGTTTTTACTCCCTACCGAGAAACCCTATTACAAGCTGGTCTGAACAACTATACTAAAAAGGAGCTCATTCATAACTTCTTGAGCCACAGAGTTAGAAATAAAAATAATAAATAAAATAAGAAAAAACAAGATCACTGAGCCTCATTATTATATTTTGTAAATCAATATTATTACTAACAACTTGGTTCTTCTGAATTTCCTCTATTCATACGACTAACTTCCCATTAGTTATCTCACTACTGAATTGTCTTCATTAACCTACATAAGTGCAGGTGTACAGTTAGTGTTCTGATATTAAGAAAAGTCTGAGTAAACATACCTTTGTTTTATCCAAAAATGTATGTGCGAGACCGTTGTTCGGCTTTAAACAAGAATATTTTCTGTTCCGCTCCTCGTCCCGTTTTCTTTATTTCTCTTTTTTCAGCACTTTATTCCAATCCTCATATATTAGTCTGGATATTTGCAGTAGACTTGGTTACCCTGCCCAGGAACATGTGAAATCATTAGCTGATGAATATTAACCAGACCTTTGTACATTTACCGCATCAATTCTTGTTATATGCAAACCTGTCTCTACCACGAATTGTTTCGCAGTCAATAATATGGTAGTCGTAACGTAAGCTTCGTAACTCGCGCCAGTTATTCGCTTTGTTCGTTCTATCTATAGGAATTCAATGAATCTCGCGAAATGTTTCAGTAGCTGTATACCGTTATAAAAGAAATATGTTGCTAATCTTAACATTTTGATCTTGCCTGTAAATTGGCATGTCTCTTTTAACATGTTTGTTATTTGAGAATAAATTATTATTATTATTATTGTCATTATTATCATTATTATTATTATTATTATGTCTAAAGCCTGAAATGCAGTACGATGTGATCGCTATTTTCTACTATGGTTGGGTCCTAGATTTTGATGATATAATCAGTGTAGAGTAAAAAAATAATGTCTAGTAGTTATGTTTCATGTTTCAAGTCAATATATGACGGTTTCGCGATACATCGTACGGGTGAACATTGCATAAAAACTGACAACAGACTGGCTGAAGTTGTAAGCTCCATCCAACTGAAGTGTGGCGTATTGAAAACCCCAGAGTTGAGATAACAGTCAGCCCTGCCCCAAGTACAAGTATGACCTAAGATTGACAAGATGAACTTCAATATAATAATAATAAATTTATTCTCAAATAACTACGTTACAAGAGTCACGCCAGTTTACAGGCTAGATCAAATGGTCACAAATGCTTTCACAATTACTGTAAAGTTATAGCAGTTAAATTAAGTGTAAGAGTCAGTTTCTGATTGCATATTTACACCATGTCACTGACAGAAACAGTATAATACAGCCACATTTTCAATAGTAGAGTACAAATAATTATGGTGCACAATAGGTTCTTTTGGCGATTTGTCGAGATCAATAGTGAATTTCTTGGGAAAGGTCATATGGAACGCGCTTGATACGAGCTGCGATCCAGACAGTCATGTACATAGGGTGCATGTTCCCTAGAGTCGCCAAGGATTTCAAACCGTGAATGGGGTTCTGAAAAGGAGAAAAGAGAGAGAGAAAAAGGAAGCAGTGTGGCAAGTGTATATATATAACCAAAGCACTACTTAACCTGTCATGTTGAAGTAGTCGAAACAGTAGTAAGTCAAGATAAAATTCATACTGACCACTTTAATGAAATTAAAGTATGCGAATAATAGAATATAACACACAGATAAAGGAGTACAGCAAAAAGAAGGAAGAGTTGTGCAGTGTCAGGTGGATAGAAGAGAAGTTGAAGTAAAAAGCTGGATTTATGTACGTTGAAATCGAAAGAGCAGAGTTTGTAAAAAGAAAACTTTGATGAATAAAATCTCGCACTGTCTAACTGTTTTTTTTTAATTATTATTATTGAATGCCAACCTCTAAGTAGTACTGTAAGCGCCTGAGTAAGAATGTTGCGGGTGTCTCGACAGAATAGCGACCTCAGCATAGTTTAGGAAACATGAACCACAGAAGTAGCAAGCGTATAAAAGCAACCTCAGTGTTACTGATTAGTCGTCTCATCAATCTAAAGAGCCGAAAGCAAACAAAATGTTCTGCCCCACAAACATGGGTGATTTTAAGTTATCGCCCACACCATCAATGTATGTATGCAAAAGCAGTTCACTTGAGACCCATATATGCTGTTTATAGCACTCGTATCCTCTCTGATCTTTCGAATATATATATATATATATATTTCGTATAGTATATATATGATTCATCACCAGCGTTTGGTTTTCAAGTTTTCTTCGTCCTCATAATTTGTACCTTCTATCATGTGTTTTCAGATATCATTTGTGCATATCAACTCTTTTTTGTGTTTGTTTGTTCCCATATCTTGTACGTTAATTTGTTTCTAGAAGGTTATTGCCAGTTATCTTAGTTCTTTTCATATATGTATGTGAAAAACAAGAAATGTTTGCTGGTCAGTAACTCCACTCTCCCTCCTTTTGTGTTGTTAGGCTCATGTTAAATGTTTAAGAGAAACTATTGAGTTCTTCTTGGTGCTCTATGTCTCACATCCTGTTGAAAAACACTATTTCTGCAAGTTCCTTTC